AAGATACAATCATGGAGAGCCAAACAACTTAGTTATGCAGGTCACCTTCAGTTGGTTTCTTCTGTGTTGATGGGGGTTCTTCAGTTCTGGATGCACGTCTTTCTGCTCCCAAAAAAAGTGTTGAAGCAGGTTCAAAAAATTTGTTCTTGTTTCTTGTGACATGGTGGAGAGGAAGGTAGGGCAAAAATTGGATGGGATAGGATGGCTCATCCTAGGAAAGAGGGAGGCTTGGGGCCGAAGGAACTCTGCTCCTGGAACCAGGCTTGCACTGCTCGCATGTTGTGCCTCCTTCTGATGCAAAGTGGGACGATCTGGGTGGCTTGGATAAGGACGTATAAGATTAAACAAGGTAGCATATGGATGGTATAGTCTAGTTCAAGTGGCTCCTGGGCTTGGAGAAGAATTTTAAAGACTCAACTTATTCTCCAGCAACATTTTCATCTACAGGGAAGGGAGGTTCTATGGGATCACCTTCCTGTGCCTAGATTCTTGATTGGTGTGATTTGGGAAACCCTTAGACCAAAATGGTCTATCGTGGAGTGGCATTATCTAGTGTGGGGGCATGGTTTCATTCCCAGAAATAGTTTCCTTGCTTGGACTGTACTCTTAGATGGCATAGTCACAATGGATAAATTGATGAAATGGGGAAAGGTAGTAGATGGAGTGTGTGTGCTTTGTAAGCAGTGATTGGAGTCCAAAGAGCATCTATTTTTTCAATGCTCTTATGCAAAAGTGGTGTTGGAGGGCTTATGCTGTCTTGTTTTCTATAGAGATTTTTGGCCTGCTACCGTCGCAAACAGAGACAGGGATATATTGCATGGCTGATTTGGTGCTTTCTGGTGGCCTCTATTTGGAAGGAAAGGTGCAGGAAGAGGCATGGGGAACTTCCTCGTTCGGCTGCTGATTTGCAGGTTTTGATCAGAAGAGACTTACTGATGGTGGGAGCAGCTAGGCACATACTAGTAGAGTTGGCGCGCTTCGGCAGCTCTTGACTATTTTTGTGATTTGTTTCTGGTAGCATTGTTTGTGTGGTGTGTCGATTAGTTGTCACTGATTAGTAGATATTTGAATTTCTGCTTTGTCATACGGGTATCCTTCGATATCCATTTCGTTGTATCAGGTTTTCCATGCATCTTGCATGCTTTGAGTAATAAGATGAGGGTAACTGATTCAACGAAGAAGAAAAAAATGAGTTGGAAATGGTAGGATAAAGTTTATTTTATTTATTATTTTTAAATTGCCACGTTACTGAGTTAACAGTCAACTTTAAGGGTTGACTGCCACATCAGACTAATTTAACGGAGTTGGATGGAGAGTGACTAAACTTGAACCATTTAACTAATTTGAGTGACCAAGATTGGATTTAAATATTTCCAGTGGCCAAATATGAACGATTTTTATAATCTCTGTGACCAACCAAGCAATTAACCCAAAATAATAATCACTGAAATTTAAGAACGACAATGGATCGACTCATTTGGTTGAATTGTCATAAACCCTTTACAAAAATATGATAATGGTTCCCTGCTCCATTCCTTTCCTCTTCTGCCTACTCTATCCTATCCTAACCCAACCTTCCCAAATTCCTTCCATATCCTCCAAAATCGAAAAACAAATCTCTTACAAAACAATACCCAAATTTATATTTTCCACAAACAATATCCAAAAACAAATATGGTATCAAGAATACCAGAAATTCGACATGATATCAAAGCGATACCCAAAATTCAACTGTTCCAATAAAAAAGAACACTGAAATTCGTTTTCAGTGTTCTTAATTTCTTATTGCTTTTGTCCCGATTTATCTTCCAGGTAAATTACCCTAAAGGTCCCTAAAATTGACTATGTATTCATGTTTGTCACTGGAGATGGAAAACAATTAACAAAACCATCACTAAGTGACTAAAATTTAAGCATGAGAAAGGGTCGACTCGAGGCTAATTTAAATGAATTGTTACAAGTTATATGAATATTGGATAATAGCCTTATATGTGGTTTTGGATTAGGGTTGGCTTTAAATTGAGTCAAATTTGGATAAACTCATTTGGGTCCAACTCAAATGAGTCTATTTGGATCCAAAAGATTGTACACAGAAAAAAAATACAATACAATATCGATCATTTCATTAACTGCCTTCTATGTTGATGTTTCCACCTTTATGTATTTCATAAAAAAAAGGAAGAAAAAAAAAGCATTAGACCCAAGCTAAATAGTTAGGTATGAGTCTACTCAAAGGAAAAATCACTTTCTACAACAACAAAAAAAATCACCCAAACCTGATTTGACCCATACTAAGATGAGTTTAGGCATTACCCAAATATTTGCATCACTAATTGATAAATAATCATAATGGTTGTAAATGTTAATTTTCATTCAATTTCATCACTTGTTAAAGGTGCTGATATAATCTTAGCCCCATCTAGACGAACAAGGGTTTGGCCTAGTGGTAATACCACTAGTCTAAAATCTGGAGGTCACAGGTTCGAATCTCTAAGTATCACCTTAATTACAAAAAATTAAAACCTATATCACACTTATAAAAAAAAATCTTAGCCACATCTAGCAAAGCCAAAAACCCTTCGAGTGCATAACACAAACAATAAGGTGACACTGACAATGGACCGCCTTGTTGAAATCTCTGACTTGGCTTAAAATAACTTCATGGTCGCAATAGGCACAAAGATGGTTTGTGATTGCGTCGAGTGGACATTTTAACTAAATTTTATTAAAAAAAAGAAGAAGAACATTTTAACTAATCTTTGCTACCCTTTTAGAGAGTGTATTGACTATTTGTTTACACCATAAAATTTGTCTTGTACCATATTAGTGAGTTACAAGATAATTAATGAGTTTATAAGGCCACACCCATTATAACAATTAATGTTGTTTAAGTTGAGCCTTATGGATATTGATTTTAAGCCCAAACCACTAAGCCTGGAGAGGGACATGCCACCTCAACGAAGAGGCCATTTCCGTTTAAAATCTAGAGACACATGCCACCTCACGAAGAGGGCCATGTCCATCTAGAAATGGAGAGGCATGTTCCCCTTCAACCAGAAGGGCCACATCTATCTAGAATTTAGAAGCACATGCCATCTCAAGGAAGACCCCGGTATGGTAAAAAATATTCTAAGTCTCGAGAAGGACGTGCACTAAGTCTGAAAGAGTTACATGCTCCTTCAAGGAGAAGCACGTGCCACTTCAACGAAGAGAGCCATGTTTGTCTATGGCCCTCACGAGAAGGGCCATGTGGATGATTAAGAGGTCTATGGCCATGTCATATGTGATGGCCATGGACGCGAAGAAAGGAGTATTAGATACGATTGAAAAATACAAAGTATGGGAAGACCATGTCGCCTCCCGAGAAGGGCCATCTGCATGATTGAGAGGTCCATGCCACCTCATGAGAGTGGCCATGGACACGAATGAGAAGGGCATGGTGGTGGAGCATTATATCACTAGTGACTAAGTCCCAAGAGGGACATGGACATGAGTAAGAAGTCCATGGCCATGAGGCAAGAGGACCACGACCCCTTTGCGAGACACCACATGCTTATCGAAAGACTAGCATGACACAAGATTTAGAGCAAGACCAGACGAGGCAAGCTACACTCCAAGACCCGCGATGGTTTCAAGAGAAGTACCTAGGCAGTTGAGAGAGGAAATGCTACTCATCCCACATTCAAGGGACACGTCAACCACGGTTCGAAGAAGAGGGAGCGATTCTTTGTAGCAGTTATCCAAGATGCGGTTTTTTACGGCGTTTACCTCATTATGGCTAAAATAGGAGGAGGGGTCGACAGAGACAGAGGGCCCCGAAAACCACACAACTGACACACATGTCAAGTTTCTCTTTTACCTTTTCTGTATCATGTAGCCATAGATGTAGCTTTTAGTTTGGAGCTCTCACTGAACCTCCATAGGATTAGGAGTAACTTAATTTAGATCTCGTTCCTAAAAAAACATCAATCAAACACCCTCGTTCGAACTTTGTTTGAAGAGGTTCGAGCCGTGTTTTAGAAATCGTTCGGGTCCGAGTTTTATCCATACCCATTAAACATCCTTCGGGTCCGGATTTTACCTGACTCGATTAGCTCGGATTCGAACGTATATCCACGTTTATGAATATTTTTTGCATTCCTAGACAAGGGGAGCCCGTAATTGGATTTAATCGTTAACTTTTGAAAATAATTGTGATAATAAATAGCTTTTAACTATTATATTTGGATTTCAAATACAAGAACAAATGAGTTGTAGTCTAATGAAAAAATATGTTTACTAATAGTAGCAGCGACTTAAGTTTAAATCACATAGGGTACCACTTAAATGTTTTTATTTACCTATACGTGAACTATTAATGGGAAATGGATAATCATTTTTCCAAATTTTAGAAGTGTCTTGCTACCGCTTAAATATTTTTTTTACCTATATGCAAACTACTCTCGGGAGTTGAATAACCGTGTTCCCAAATTTTACCTATATGTGAACTATTATTGAGGATTGGATAATCATTTTTCCAAAGTTTAGAAGTGTCCTGCTACCACTTAAAATATTTTTTTTACCTATATGCAAACTATTGTCGGGAGTTGAATAACCGTGTTCCCAAATTTTAGAACTGTCCCGAGACATCCTAAAGCCACACGAATCCGCCACTGATATATTGAAGTGATAGATTTCGATTTTGTCCAACGAGCGTGGTAAATATTGTCTAATTGAGAATTCAAGTGTGTTTTTGATCAATGAAAAAATATCTCTTTACATGGACTTAATCAATTGAAATCTGGTAGAACTAGAAACAGAACTGCACACTTTGAACTAACATTTCCTCAAGTACTTATACAAAGAATGAATCGACTACATAAAGAATCCAAAGTGATTTTTCCTTGAACGTATACCCGTTTCAAGTAAAGAAAAAAGAAGTTCAACTTAATGCTCACTTCGACAGGGGAAAAAAACAACAACAACAACAACTATAGTTAGTTATCATTGATATCCCCCGATCAGGCAGCGGCATTAACGGCAGTGCAAACCCGACGAACTTGTCCCTGAGATCCCGTCAAAGGCTCAATATTCCCCATCCTAACCATGGCTGCCGCAAAATCAGAGTTGAAAACCCTGGGGTTCCTACTGTACTCATCCACTATCCCGTCCGTCGACCCACCGCTGAAAAGCACCTGGTCGGACTGCAGCAGCCCCCTCCTCTGCACCAGATTCCTAAAATAATTATTATCAAACGAGTTGGGCGTCACCAAATCCAACGGCGCCAGATTACCGTTGCCGTCCCCTGCCGCCGAGGGACACTGCCTTCTCCTCGTACTAGCAAAGTTGGCATCAATATCGGAACCGTTATTATAAATCCTGCCACGAAACGTGGCGCACCTGGCCTGGCCAATGGTGTGGGCCCCAGAGAGCGCCACCATGTCTCGCGGGCTCAGCCCTTTCGTGCCGAACAAGTCAACGAGCCTGTCCAGCGGGTCGTTGAACCCGGGGAGGTTGCCGGCCTCTGCTGTGGCCCGGCTGGCTGACGTGGAATCCCTCCTCCCGAGGTTGACCGTCCACGTGGGCCCACCCAGCGCCTCGGACGCGTCGCGGGCCGCCACGGCGACTATGTCGGCGCAGGAGACGACGCCGGGGCACTGGGATTCGACCCGGGACTTGACGTCGTCGATGACGTTGTAGCCGCGGACGGAGTTGGCGTTGGGGCGGGCGGTTTTTTCGCCGGTGAGGGAGGAGGTGTCGTCGAGGAGGATGGAGGCGTCGCAGCCCTGGACGAAGCAGTCGTGGAAATGGAGCCGGATCAAGGAGGCGGCCATCCGGCGCTCGCGCTGGACGGCGGTGCGGATGCCGGAGCGGATGGTGGAGAGGGCGGTTGGGCAGGTGGAGTCGTAGAAGTTGGTCGACAGCTGGGCTTGAGTAGTGTGAGACGACGATGAGAACAGCAGAAGGAAGAAGGAGATCAATATCATCAGAGACGCCATCTTTACTCTGGAAGAAAGCAGAGTATAAGTGTGTAAGCTGAGGTATAGAGGGATTTGAATTGGTTATGGATGGAAATGAAGGGGAGATGTAAGGATTGTACTTATAGGGGGGAAATGTTGGGGGGAATGGTTCAAAAATTGGACCGTGCCCGCCGTCACGTGGTGGATAGGGTTTTAGCTGCGTTGCAAAGAGACATGACGACGACGCGTTAACTGCATGGGATGTGGAACTTTCCTGCAAATGATTTTGGTGGTGGTGGCGTCCAATTGCATGCAGGGTGGTGGCTCAGTGCTCTCTCATGATATATTTGTCTGTCGTTCGCTTTTGTTGACCGTAACTACCTAACTAACTAATCTAATATTTTTTAATAGGTTGCTTCAGTTGACAATTTTGGGCTTTTGAAATTAATCAACTTCTAGTTGTATGTGGTTTGAAAGTAAACGCCATTGCTAGGTCACATCAGCTGACGAAGTCTTTCCAATTCTTTTCTCTCTCTTTTTTTTTTTAACAAAAGTTCTAATTCTCTTGAATGTCTAAATGACCAATTTTATAAACAATAATAAATCTAATGGTGAGAAACCATGAGTGACCATGAAAACTATATGTAACCTTATGGTGAGTAATTATGAGTAATCCGTTCACATCAGCATGACATCAGTATCACTCTCTCTTATGGAAAGCCTTTTATCTTTCCCTCTTTAATTTTTAACGGACGATTTTTCTCTCGTTTTAAGTCAATATTTAAATTTTTTTGCACAGATAAATCAGATTAATTGTTCTGTTTAAAATGATATACACTTTGATATATTTTTAGAACTAAAAAAAATTGAGTCACTTTTTACCGGTCAATACCATATGATATGCTCCTATTTAATACCATATGGTAAGAAAGCGTACCATGATGGTATGAACATTAGGGGTGGGAAACAGTCTGGTCCGATTTAACCGGACCGGATTAACCCGGTTTTTCTATAACCGTTTTGGCCAATACCACAACCGGAGACGGGATTGGATGACACCCGGTTTTAACCAAGACCGGATCAATCCGGTCCGGTTTCAACCCAAACAAGTGGATGTGACTATTTCCTCCTAGACGATAGCGTTTCAACCAAAATGACAAACATAAAAAAGGATCACACATCTGCTTCAACCCTAAACCAAGCGTCGCCCTCTCTTTTTTCTTTGCTTTCTCGTCCTCTCCGCCACAAGAATGCCCAGGGAGAAAATTTCTGCTTATCTACTCCCCCACTCTCATCGTCTCCTTGCTTCATCCATCATCCTTCCGCTGCCGACGAAAGTCACTTCCCTCTTTCCCACCGACGCCACCGCCGCATCTTCCTCACCCGAAGAGCTCTCTCAGGGAGAAGAGCCTCGGATCCACCCAACACCTTGCTGCATGTCGCAGCAAATGGCGAAAAGAGCCAAGATCCAAGTCGAAGCCGCGGCAGCCGAACTCGCCCTCACTCGACTGATGAACGCCGAGAAAATGAAAGAAAGATCGACAAGGCAGGCGCGGCGGCAGTTGTCTGATCAACTTCTTCTTCATCTCTGTTGTCTGTGTGTACTGTGAGGGTGGGTTGGATCTAGGGGTCCAGGCTGGGGCTTAAAATCGTGTAAGCTTGAGGTTGAAAAAAGGAGAGAATAGAGAGAAGGGGTGAGGAGAGATTGGGAAACAGAGAGGTAGGGTTGAGAGATTGGGGAGGAGTTTAATTTTGGAGATTGAAACTGTTGCTGGGAGTGGGATTGGGAAGAAAACAGAGGTAGGGACGAAATTTTGGGAATTAAAATTAGGGTTGGGTGGTCTCGTATGGGCTTTGGTGGGAGTGGGATTGTGGGCTGGGCTATGGGTGTGGGCTGTATTTTGATCTATCCGGTTTTCCGGTTTTAACCGAATTGGACCGGGTGATATGATCTCAATTTGGGTTTTCAAACGATTGGAATTGATCGATCATGAAGGCAAGCTAGGCACGTTTAAGGACTTTGATTTTTGTCCAAGTGTTTATGACGATTTCAGGTACCCACTTTGGGCGAGCATAACTCTTGATTGGTGTGATGAAAATTCAAGTTCTATGGCCTGCGTGGAAGAGGAAGAGTTGCTAATTCGAATGGTAGGCTTCAGAGCTCAAGGGAAGTACCAGAAGATGGGATTTCATAGTGACCAACATGCTAGCTCACTCTTGGAAAAACTGCCAGAATTGGCTAAGTGTGGAAGTGTGAGCGAGGAGCCACCTTTGGAGCTCTCGTCGAGGAGCAGGAAGGAGAGTCGAGGTGCTGGGCTTGGCATTCATGAAAATACATATCTCCTTCTACAGAGACGTGGGATTGGATGAAGGGTTTGATCCCTGGAGGTGTTCGATCGAGCAGCCACAAGTTCGTATCGACACTAGGTGGAGGAAGAGCAATCCGAGTCCTATTCGGATTAGGATTTGTTCACGGTTTAGGAATTCTTTCTGTTTTCGAATTGGATTTGGTTTCCTTTGAGTTCTGGCTTGTTTAGAACATTTTTTGCTTGTGTTGTAAGTTACTTTACCTATTTAAGTTCGTGTCCATGATGTAATAGGCAGTTTTTTGAGAGTTAATCGAATAAACCGAGAGTTTATCGCCATAGCTTCTTGCTTGTGGGTTTTTGAGATCGACCTAGGGTTTTCTAGTTCGATCTTGTGCTTGTATCGTTCGATTAGTCCCATTGAACGTGGCCAAGCTTCGACTTATAGTTTTCGAGCCTCTTTCCCGGGTGAAGGTTGCACGAAACTTCACATCCAAACCACAAAACTGCCCTGTTTTGTGGAGGTTCTTGTGCGAGTTCCAAATCCGAGGTTCCAGACCTCTTTGCTGCGCAACTTTGTCCTTAACCCCTGCTTAGGGGTTCATCAAGTGGCATCATCGCCTGGTTCAAACGCAGTGGACAGTACGACGCGTTGGACGAGATCAAAGGGTCCCGTTTCCAGTGATCCTGCAGTCCGACGTCAGGAATTGAGAAAGCAATTCGAAGGACAATCCATGGCGGGGCAAACGTTTAACATGGATGAGCTTCTGGATCGAATGGGGGAGCGATTCCATACTGAAATCCAAGAGCAATTAGGTCAGTTTAGAAGGGAAGTTGACCAGAGGTTTGATACCATTGTTCGGCCGGAAAACAGAGACCGAGAAGAGGGAGCATCCGGCGACGCAAATCCGGCAGGCAATCAGGAGCTGCTGGATAGGATTGCAGAATTGGAACGACGTCTTGTCGTCGTCGAACCCCATCATGATCGTGGCCGCCGAGAGCGGCGTGACAATCGTGAAGACCCGCCGGCGATTCCACCGGGAATCAAATTGACGGTGCCGGCGTTTCAGGGCACAATTAATGCCTCGGCATACATGGATTGGGAACGGAAGATGGTTCTTTTCTTCCAGTGTGGTCATTACACAGAACAACAAAAGGTGGCTCTGGCTACCTTCGAATTCACTGACTATGCAGCTCAGTGGTGGGAGAAGACTCGTCTCCGACGACGGCAGAACTTGCAACCAGAAGTCACAGACTGGGAAGAGCTGCGAGGTTTGATGCGCGATCGTTTCGTGCCAGCATACTATCAGAGGGAGCTCCACGAATCGTTACAAGCGATTCGCCAAGGAGGGCGTAGTGTGGAGGATTACTTCCGTGAATTGGAGCTACTGCTGATGCGAACTGATGTGCGAGAAGACAGGGAGGCTACGATTGCGAGATTCCTCCATGGGTTAAATCGAGAGATCAGGCCAGAAGTCGACTTAAGGTCATTTGTGGACCTAGAAGACGCCTTGCACCTCGCCATCAAAATAGAGAAGCAACAAAAATTGCTGATCGGCAGGAAGTTTACTCCGGTAAGCAAACAGGGGGCTGAGTCAGTTATAGAGTCCAATCCGACTCCAACTCGGTTTGATTCTTCTAAACCTGTTACCAAGAGCACGAACCCTGCTCCAGTTGAGCGATCGGGTGGCATACAGTGCTTCAAATGCCATGGACGTGGCCACAAGGCCAATCAGTGTCCTAATTTGAAGACATTGGTGATCAGAGACGGTGCATCCTCACTGACGACGAGCAAACTGACTCCAGCGAGGAGGAGAAGGTCGACGAGAAGATTGAAATGGAAACTCCTGCATCTGGAAATCTTCTGGGAGTCAGCAGGAGGGCTTTAACCATCACAAGTGAACCCGATTTCAGCCAACGAGACAACTTGTTTCATTCTCGCTGCCTGGTCCAAGGTAAGGTTCTTTCAGTAATCATCGATGGCGGGAGCTGTACAAACGTCATCAGTCAAGATGCTGTAAACAAGCTTGGGTTGAGCACAATTCGACACCCTGAGCCCTACAATTTACATTGGTTGAACGACTACGGGGCGATTCGAGTGACGAAGCGGGCTAAGGTGAACTTCGAGATTGGGAGGTATAAGGACGAGCTAGAATTCGATGTAGCACCGATGCAAGCTGCCCATATACTGCTTGGGAGACCCTGGCAATTCGACAGGGGAGTTTGTCATTTTGGAGATACCAACCAATACACAGTTCGTCATCTGGGTAAGCAATATACTCTGCAGCCAATGTCGCCGGAAGAAGTCAGGGCGGATCGACGGCAGATGGAGGCGAATCAGCGCCGTTCGAAGAAGGACGATCTGATGGAAGGATCCGAGGATCCTCGAGGAAGCAACGCGGTGCTTAAGAGACTGATGCTCACGGGGTACAAGCAACCCAGGAATCCTCGTCGCCGACGACCCTGTGTCACGGCACCGGAGCAGAGCAGGAGAGAGGGTGAATGGGGCAGCCCAGCTGGAAATGATTCGGACGTACCTGAGGCTGCAGGCACGACGCAAATCACCTCAGGAAGCTCACCCACAACTTCGATTGACGTGATCATGCCCTCAATCCTGGATCCAAATCGAGCCGAAATTGCTCTGAAAATGGCAAAACTCGACCAAAAATCGAGCTTATTGGTTGAGGCGATCGGGGGTGATTCGACCCAAACCACGACTGCCAAATCTTTACA